ACCACAAACATGGCTCTCTTCCACCTGGAGTATCAGATGAGCAGGTGAGTCACGCAAAACACCATAAAATGTTTTCATTCATTTTAAACATAATTTAAACAAATTCAAAAAGAGTGAATATTTCCAGGAAAACAAAATAATAAAGTTTATCTGTTCAAACATTACATATCTTGTCTTTGTAGCGTATTCAATAGAAAATAGGTTGGAAAGGATTTGCAATATTTTGTTTTCATTTATGTTTCACACGACGTCCCTGTGTCATTGGGATTGGGGTTGTTTAATAAACGAGGTATTCCTCAAGTGAAACATCACAGATATGGTGGTGCTGAGAAATGYCTGACTTTAACAGAGCAGATTTATWAATAAATGTGTAAGTTAATGAAAAAAAGTAAAGCATCAAATGTTAAAATCTAATAATTAACTACATTTCTTTTTTTAATAACACATGGCTGACCTGTGTAGTTGTGGGAAGCTCAGAAGATCAAGCAGGTAAGTAGCTCAGCAGCCACAAGTTGGCTCAGGTTAAATCCACCTTCATACATCTGATACATTTGGCTCCAGACAGCATGAGGAAGYTTTCATGCTCTCTGCTGCAGGCCATCATTCACCCTGACACCGGAGAGAAGATCTTCATGCCATTTCGGATGTCAGGTACGTCCTCAGATGAAGATCTTTGTGAGCCGCTCCGTTCTGTCATCATTTATTTGTTTTTTTTTTTAATTTATTTATTTCACACTGACAGTCATGTTCTCACTGTGCAGGTTATGTTCCATTTGGAACGCCAATTGTAAGTGTCATACGGAAACCTCACATTTAATTCATGCATTCCATAACAGCAGTGCAGATTTCCATGAGCACGGCTGTATTTGGGATCCGAGGAAATAGGTTGGAACTTATTTTGCCACAAAATAAGCTCTTATTTCTTGGTCTCATCTAGGTCATTGGCCTCCTTCTCCCAAATCAGACTGTGATGTCAACCATTATATGGCAGGTACTGGAAAAGATGTTGCATATTGAATGCTGGTGTCTAAAAGGGTTTGGAACCTTTAAATTGTTCTATATTTCTTTATAATTATTGCACTTAAATGTACTGTATACAAAGGAGAAATAAATAGCAAACTGGTGARACAAGGCAGTGGTCTGCAGAGGAAGAATTTCTTCAAAATAAAACAGGATGTAAAGGTTACTGGAAAAAACAACAACATGGAAACAGATAAAAAACAAAGAAACACTTGAATGAACAAATATAAGAAACTGATTAATGACATTAAAAGTAAACTAACTAAAAACCCTGAAACAACAATTAGAATTACACAGAAATTTAAGATAAAGACGTACCCGTGAAACATGATGGTGGTGGTATCATGGTTTAGGCCCTGATGAAGAAGAAACTATGGCTGTTTGAGAGCGGTCAGGTCCAGAAGAAATCCACTTCCTCCTGACATACTCAAACGTTGAAATAATCAGTAAGTAAGTGAACTTTATTTGTGTAGCACTTTTCGCAGTTAAGTAGCCATGAATTTTGTCACAATAAAACACAATAACAGAGCATTAAAACACTTTCACAAACCATAAAACACTGATAAGACAAAGATTAAAACTTCTCCAGCTTGCTCATAGCCTGCTTCAAAAGGTGGCATTTAGCTGTTTTTTTAAATCTCCATTTCATCCACAGCTCAGAGCAGGACCATTCAATTGGCAGCCAGTGACCAAAGTTTGGCCCGCCAATTTCTTCATTCACCTCTTTAAGCCCAAACACGGTTTTCAATTTTAATTATAAGTTCTTTTAGTTAGACATAGACATATTTGGTACGGAAACGTCAGAATCGAAACCATTTCTATGCACACTCAAGACAGTTAAAATTACAAGCAGATGAAGATAAAACTATGAAAGTGAAAATAAAATTGTTTTAAAAAAATTGGCAAGCCAGAGATGTCAAAATAATATTTGTGTTAAATATGAGGCATAATGTGTTCTTTTAGTTTTTGGTATTGTTTAATTAACACTACTTTTATTGGGTTCTGTATGTTGTATTCATGATTAAATACAGCAAAAATAAACTATTTCAAAGGTAACATATCTTTGTAATACTTGGTTTATTTACATAATTGACTTTAATTGCTGGATGTTCGGCCCCTGAGCTGTTGACCTGCCATGATTGTGGCCCCCGGAACAATTTAGTTGAATAGCCCTGTCTTAGAGATTGAGACAATGCGTTCCAAACTTTTAGGAGCTACAACGCTCTATCACCACATTCAAAATGTATGCAAATCCACTTCATTAGCCTTGAATGATAAATAGAGATAAAAATAATCACAAAATAGATGATAAGAAATGTTAAAAACCTAATAATCTGGCTCAAAAGTAACATATATAGGGAGAATAACAAAGGCTCCAAGAACAATCCTTGTGGAACACCACAAGGTACAAGAGTTGCTGTAATTATGAAACTTCTTTCAGTTTGAAATGAGCTGAACCTTGACATGTTTTTTATCAAGCTTCGCCAAAAATACACATAAACTTTTATTTTATTTTTACATTTTTTAATTCACTTACTTRTGCAGAAATGTAGAAAATCCTTAAAGGTTTGCAAGACTTTTAACAGCATTGTATCGCTGCATTCAGTGTCCATTTTGATCATCTTGAAGATTTAGTTTTTACCTTCCTGTCTACCTCTCTCCGTGCTTCTGATAATTGTTCTTTAATTCTCCTCTTTTTCTCGTTTTTAGTGGTTGAACCAGAGCCACAACGCCTGTGTGAACTACGCCAACCGCAATGCCACAAAGGTGGAATCAACTTGGTCCAAAATCTTGTCTTTGTCTAAGTTTTACTCCAACATCGTTTGGCTTAATGTCTTTTTGATTTCCATTAGAAAATTCCTAAAGTAAAAAATTCTCAATAAGAAACACAGAATGTTAAGCTGGTTTGACAGTAAACTGTTTAAATCTGTAACTTGGAGCATTATTTGTGTGCCTTTAGCCGACACCGACATCTAAGTTCCTTCAAGGTTACGTGGGAGCTGTGTCAAGTGCTGTATCTATTGCAGTGAGTGTTATTTTCTTCACTGGCATTGATGTCATTGCTAATAATAACCTCTTAGAATTCTGGAAGCTTTCAGGTAACAGTAAGAGATCAATACATTTAAAAAGATGAGAGCTGTAAAACAAGATTTATTGTTAAAATAAATAGTGCAGCTGACATTTTATTGTGGGCGTTTATAAGATTTAGCGAATGAAATCTGCTGGAGTGCTAACATAGAAGTGTTTTGTGTTTTAGGTGGGACTGAATGTGCTGATTGAGAAGGCCCACAGGCTGAGCCCTGCCACCAGGATGATCATTCAGAGATTTGTTCCCTTCCCAGCTGTAGGTGGGTTTTCAAAGGATTCAGTTTTATAAAGAGCCTTTTTATTTTGAGTCACAGTCTCTTATTGTTGCTGTTATACATTTTATACATAAGAATTAAAGGGGAGGGTGACTATGCAAAATCTACTTTTATTTTTAGCTTTATATCATGTTATAATGTCATTCCCTCATCAAAAACATACATTCATGGACGTTTGAGAAATCCTTGAATCTCCTGTGATAGCCATTCGGAGCTGCCTAAATGCTTACTGGTACAAAGCTCCGCCTATTTACACAAAGCTCCTCCCTGGGGCTCAGTCCTCAGCTGAGCTCCAGCCCCACAGAGCACCCCTCCCTCAAAGCATTGTTGTGAAGGTGTGCTGAAGTGGAAGTATCTAAAATGGTACAGTAGGAGGTTCTTAAAGAGGAAAATACATGGAAAAATAAATAGAAAAATACAAAATACTCACCCTTTAAGATCAAATTCTAAATCTTGTTCTTTTAATATAAGAATTTTGTTTAGTTTTTTTCAACAAGCACCATCTGAACAAATATTAGTGTTCATGTATCACAGCGTGTGTTAAAACATCTGATCTTCTTTTCTCTTCAGCGAGCGCAAACATCTGCAACGTGGGTCTGATGAGACACAACGAGCTGTCCGAAGGTATCGATGTGCTGGACAGCGATGGCAACGTGGTGGGATCCTCGAAAATCGCCGCCAGACACGTGAGCAGCTTCTTCTTTGATGTTTCACTGAAGGAATTTGAAACGTCACAGTGGGAGAATAACGGGTGACCTGTCACTTCATGCTTCGTGTTTGCCCCTTCAGGAGGAAACAGTTACAGCTTGCAGCTGTATTTGAAGACACACGTTTGCACAATGTTGTCATTTTTACCCTCAGGCAATAATGGAGACGGCCTTCACACGTGTGGTCCTTCCAATGCCCATCTTTGTCCTGCCCCCCATCATCATGTCCTACGTCGAGAGGTTTGTGCAAAAATACGCACCGCTGTTAACCATTCTTGTTGATCAAGATTAAATTAGATTAAATTAATTTTGAAGCCTTAAACTTCCTAATCCCTGCTGTCAATGTTCGAGATCAGTGGTTTCCAAAMTTTTTAGACTTGCGTACGACCCGGAGCCATTTTGTCATGCCACTAGTACCCCYTATGCCAAACGTATGGATGATTCTCCAAAACTATTATATACAACAGTTGATTATTATATGAAAATTAAAGTTTAATTCTCAGGCATTTTATCCTTTTCAACTTAAATTAAACATAAAAGTAAAAATGTTGCCTTGAAAGTGAATACATAATTGAATAAACCAKGTGATGGCAGGTGCAGGAAGCAGCTGCGTCCAACATACATAAAATACCCCWAATGAGCAAATTCCTTGAGATTCCACGTTTTATACAGGACTTCATTTTGTGTGCATTTTCCGCATTGCAAGAATCATAGGGCCCTACATATCTCAGTCCTATTTTTATTTATTGTTTTACACACCTGGGAAATTTAACAATGTACCCCCTGTGATATGCTCACGTACCCCAAGGGGTACACGTACCCCTGGTTGGGACTGTTCTAGATAGTTAAAGGTTTTAATAATTGCTCAGATAAGAGTTATTTTATTTTATTTTATTTTATTTATCTAAAAGTTAAAAATATAGTAACAATATGTCCTGATGCATCTCAGTAATCCAGGTAGAAAAAATCAAAAGGAAAAAATAAGCTGGTCCTCTGGATGGGTTCTTGTTTACTGAAATGTTTCGTCTCTCCTCCAAGAGACTTCTTCAGTCTGATGAGTTTCAGGTGAACTCAGCCTTATAAGCACTGCCTCCACATGGACAAACAGGTTAGTCACATGCAGAAGAGGGCCATAGCCTAACAATAGGCTTGATTATTGTTCATAGYGGGTCATGTGCCCCATCACCTGACTTATTGGTTTGGATGCTTCGGCTGTGGTTATTTGGTGTTTTGTTATGTGTTATGCCTATTGTTAGTCGATGGCCCTCTTTTGCATGTGACTAACCTGTTTGTCCATGTGGAGGCAGTGCTTATAAGGCTGAGTTCACCTGAAACTCATTAAACTGAAGAAGTCTCTTGGAGGAGAGACAAAACTTTTCACTAAAGCAGAACCCATCCAGTAGACCTCTTATTTTTTTTTCTTTTTGATAGTAACAATATACTGTCTCAAAAGTGTTTCAAAACCTTTTTGTTAAACTTGGAAAATGCTTTGTGCCAGAGATGCTCAGAGAAATCTGTGTTTTAAATGAATTTAACCATAAAAGTTTCATTTTTAAGCACTCGTGTAAGTTTCTGTGACAGCTTTGTCAGCTTTCTGTCCAAAAATACACAATACGATTTATAAAATAGGCTGAATTCAAATCAACATATGTCGTCCCCTAAAGTCACTTCATTAAGGACAAATGCACCGGAGAAAGACTGAACCATAAAAAGAGATTATTCTTTTCCTTTGTATCCCTCCGGTCTGATTCATTAACCTCACACAGGCAGAATTTCCCACCCTCCAACTGTGCGAAACAGCTCCCCCCAAATATGATCCAAAAATAACTGCGGGCGTTGCAGGATCAATCCACACCGCAGCCTCACTTTTTCTTTTGTGTGTGTGTGTGTGTGTGTGTGTGTGTGTGTGTGTGTGTGTGTGTGTGTGTGTGTGTGTG